ATATGTATATATATATATATAAAAGAATATAGCACATATATATATATGTGTGTATTCCATACATGCATCATAATTTCCAAGACAGCTACAAATTTCCACATGCATTAAACTATCTAAAAACATAGAAATAGGCAAGTCTAATAAGTGGAATTTTCTTAAATTATGTTTGAACAATAAACAGCAAGAGTAATACTGCAAAGTACTGCTCTATTCTCATGGTTATCTACAATAAAATTCTAGGAACAGCTGTCTCCCAAAACATCCCCCAATAAAATTAAAAAAAAAAAAAAGGTAAACCCCGGTGTCCTATGTTTGTATATTCATTGTCAGTTCAAAAATAAAAAAAGTAAACAAAGAAAAGAGAAAAAAGACATCCCCACTCAGAGTTGCATATTTACATTCTTCAAACTGTAGCGGTGAAAAATAATTCTATTAAGTGCAGGACATTCCTAGTGTTGCAGTAGTGACATTTTTAATAAGTTCTTCATGAAAACATTTCTTTTTGTCTTAATAGTGATGCATTCCATGACTACGTGAAAATTCTATTATCCCCTTCACTTGCAGCCAGTGGTTGAGTCTGGATTGAAAAGCTCCTTGTATAATGGAGGAAACAGTGTGTTCACTATATCTGGATGAGATTGCTTAAATACCTGTAGTTTCTCTCCGTGCAAGTTGCAAAGTGCAGTAATGGTTGGTATCTTGGCTATTAACTGTGAGACATTAAAATAAAAAGAAGAGGAAGAGGAAGGAAGCAAATTTAGCATGAATTACAGTTTCTAAAATGAACTTTGTTAATATGTTGTTGGGTAACCAAATGCAATACTTTGAACTCCATCAAAACTACCCATCCAAGAGACGAGACATTGTTCTTACCATAAGAGGCTAAAAAACATTGTCCTAGAAATTTTAGACAAGTGCCAAAAATGCATTTAACAAGGAACTGCCTCCAGAAGTATTTCCTTAAGGCAGTCTCATTCTTGCTAGGGTACCAATTAAAAAGATCAGCATATTGAACAAAAAATGCAGTAAAAGGAACCAGGGACAAGAGTAAAATAAACCTTACTTCTACACATTGCAAGAACATAGTGTGCTGCTTTTAACTTACATTAATGCAACAATAGAAGGAGAAATAGCTACAAAAATAAAGTCAGGATCTAGGAGTCCTTGGCTCTTTGTTTTAAGAATTTACCTTTGTCAAAGTCTCATCATCGAGGTGGTTCTTCTGGATCACATGTTGAAGTGCAAAGTAAATCTTTTCCTGAAGCTTCTGGACCTTCCTTGGCTCTATTAACCAGGCTCGATCTGAGAAAAAGGAAAGCAAGAGCTGAAGTCAAGGATTCACAGATGTGGGGCATGCTTATGGATGAACACAGTGTCCCATGCTGGCATGCATTCACAGCAATTATAATTCCCATAAGGAAGGACTGCATGATAACTAAGACATGGTTTCAGAGGCAAAGTATCTTAATCCATTAAAGGATCACCTGAAAGTTTAGTTAACAGATACAAGGTGTACAGGAACACAATGTTGGCTCTGCATCTCTTTGTTTAAACAAGAATGTTAGAGATAAAGATAGGAGTAGAAATGAAACAAGGCCCAGCCATTTCATTATTCTCTGTTGGTACAATCAGTGTTCTTCTAACTTCATACTGTCTAGGTGAAAAATTTGTCATGTTATCTCCATATCTTAATATATAAATAATAAACATATTGATCAAAACAGTTCTTTGAAAATAATAGAATATAATTATTTAAAAATTAAAATAAAACATATCTCATTATTTACTAGGCTAACATTTTGAGACCAAATATTACATTCTGAATAAAAAGAAATGGCTTCCTTCAAAAGAATTTCTTTAATAATTCAAAAGTATTATGAGCTGTTGCAATGTCTTGAAGTGCAAATTCCTCATTATTTAAAAATGTTCTCTTTTTAAACAACACAAAATAAAAGATTGTCTGGGAGAATAACAGTTACAAACACAGTTGTTTGGAAACCTATATGGCTCCTGCTGGACTCAAACCCCAAGTGTAAGAGGTCTTTCTTAAGATCTATATTCTCACAAGTCACAGTTTCTGGAGACACATGGAAAGAGTAGCAGACTCCAAGACAATCCCAAAACCATTAATTCAGTGTGTTTACAACACCATTGAACCTTCTGTTTTTCCATGCTGCAAACTTGTTTCTTCCTCCTTCTTTCCGTCAATCCAGACCAATTCTTGGGTATAGATTTTAGATTTTAAACAGGAAATAAGAAAATCTATTTTATCACAGGTCATGAATCTTCATGCACAATTGAAAAGTATACCTTTCACCTTTAGAGCTTTTTCACCCACTACCAGTCACTAAAATAATCCATAGAAATAATGTAAGTCGACCATTTCATTGAGCACACATGCCACAGAGGCTAGGGCTGAATTTCATCACAGGAGGAGCAGGATTCTGTCATTTCCCTGACTGTAGAGAGGAATGTATGAAAAGTGTCCATTACTAAGTACTGTGAAAAGGGACAAAATGAAACCTCTAGCTACTTAAGCAATGATCAGGAAAAGCAAATAATCTTTTTGCAAAGCTTAGACAATCATGTTCCCAGAAGGCAAGCCAATGGATCCTATGCCACCAGTGGCCATAGAAACAGAATTAGCTGAGAGCACACACAGCATCTAAACAGATAAGCACATAGTAATATTTAGACTTCACAGGTTAAGTGACAAATTAAGGCTATTGCAAAAACAGGCCTTTCAATAGTGTTAAATCAAGGCCTATTGTGCCAGACTGGAGCTAAAAAGGTTTATCACAGAAAGCAACCCTTAAAGACTTATCTTTCTGTCACAAGAATAAGCTTAAAAATAGTCTGAGGCTGCTGGAGGACAGGTTTAATCACTTAGCTGTGATGGAGCACTATGTATATAATACAAGAGTTCTTAAATTAATGACAAGAGCTAGGTGAAACTTTTACAATGGATATCAAGTTCATCTCCCAAAAGGTGGTTTCTACCACCTGAAAATGATCTGCAAATTTGGCTGGCATTCCTCAGGTATCTCTAGTTATATACACAAAAGTGTAGGAAAAAGTCAATAGATCAATGGCTATCTATACAAGATGTAAGAAGCAGTGGTTTAATTCTGTACTTTTCCTATGGGGTTTTGAGCTTGTGTGTCTTTAAAGAGTGCACAGACCACTAGGCTAGAGAGTAGCATAGGAAAGAAGATGAGGGACAACTTACAAGATCTGCTTTTGCAAAAATGAAGAAGGTGAAAAGGAACATGGCCAGTCAGAAGAGGACTGGGACACAGCGGGCAGCCAGGTTAGTGTTTTACCACCTGGCTCTGGCATGTTTGAAGGTGGAGATGCCTCTGCAACTTTTACTAGACTCCTTCTACAACGTTTTAACCTTTGAAACCAGAAATCAAGTAAAAGTATCATCTCCAAGCAGAGTGGTTAGGTCCATCTTAAAATGAAAAATCTGGATTTGTGCTCAGAATCAGATAGAAAATAGGTCTGACACTGGGCTTTGCAACCTTAGCAATTGTATTACTGGACCTTCTTAGGTGCCCTTACTCCCCATGAAACTGCTCTGTTTCCTGTAAACCACCTAAACACTGAGATCAAGAGCACAAGAATCACCTTTCAGGATGGTGGCTTCCAGAGAAAAGAAACTTGAATATGAGTACTTCCCATAGGGAATCTCTGTGTACCTATATTAGTGGATGGAAGGACAGGTGCAGGTACTTCTGTGAAGCAGTGCTTCATTTTTTAATTTTTACATATGTTCCCAACATGAAACACTTTATTTTGAAGAAACTGGAACATCTAGTGTGGAAAGAAATTATTTCTTTCTCTATTGTTTACTGTTATTATTTTTGTAAGAAAATAAGTGGCAAATTTCAATGTCAGTTTGGTCTGTACTGATTTTCGCTGCCTTCCCTCTCCCAAATTTAGCAGCCCAGCTGAAATGGGAATTATTCACACAGTCCAAATTTGCAGTCTTTTTATGAAAGAAAGATTGCTTTCACTCATGTACAATGTGCTGCAGCCCATCATTTCTTTCCTATTGCATCTTTTATGTCTAAAGATATACATGCTTACAGACTACAGAAACAAGCACTCAGCATGCATCAAGCACTTTCACATTATTGGGTTTTTTTTTTTGGTTAAAGGAATCAGAGACACTGTATGTGTCCTCTTGCTTGCAAGTAGGAAAAAGCCAACTTGCATGTGAGATGAGGAACTGTGGATTATTGAAATATTTCATCTCATAGTACCACCTTCAACCCTGCAGCTTGCTTACAGTGAAAAAAACCTTTGGACTGCCTCTACTTATCTGTGATACTTTGCAGAAACAGAAGCTGGTATTCAGGAGACACCCAGCTCTGAACGGCCGTATCAGGACTGCTGTATATCAGGACTGAAATGCCTTACTAGAGTTAATGGAGAAGCTTTCACAACACATGCCTGCAATACAGCTGGCTCAAAGCCAGTGCTGAGTTGCTAGCTTGTTCAAGTACTTAGTACAGCTGCAAGAAGTAGAAATGAGAATGGATACCCAGGCAGCATGAACTGCAGGCAGAATGCAAGAGATGTTGGTGCTTTGCAAGACTAGAGGGACATATGTAGAACTGCAGAGCTGAATCAGAATTCTGATGTCCATCTGATGCCTACCTCCAGCTAAACACATTTTGTAAATTACTTGATCTGAAATCCATTAAAATCAATGGGAAACTTTCCATTACTTAAATAGGTTTTGCCCAGGCCTACGGCAGAGGGCACTCTGATATGTTAGAAGCTTTCTGTGACCTTTCTGTTGAATAGGGTTATAACTTGTTCTCTTTTCCAAGATTACCTGACAGACAGAAACATGACTTTTTTTCAATTTGGCTAGAAATTCCATAACTGAATTATCTTGCTCCCTACAGATGAGATGCCCCCATCTGATCCAAAGTGCTTTGAAGTCAGCTTCAAAATTATCTTGTTGTTTCTGTCTGCTCAGCTAACTCCTACTTTTCCTGTTCCTAACTGTAAGAAAATAAACTGAAGAGTAAAAAAACCTCCAGCTGTTACAAAAGAGAAATACAGATCCTGCTTACAAGGATCCCACCACCCTCTTCCTGTTTCCCTTGGCTTCATAATGTGAAGTCAGCTCAAAACACTGAAACCATCTTCTGCAGTCTGTTAACATCTTACTGAAGAACTTCATAGCCCAGACCCCAAACACATTTCCAGCTTGTCTTCAGCTTTGCACTGAGTCAGCCTGCTG